GGAGCAAGGGAGGAGGAGGGAGCATGGGAGGAGGGAGCAAGGGAGGGGGGAGGGAGTGGTGAGCAGCAAGGGAGGGGAGTAAGGGTGGGGGGAGGGAGTGGTGAGTAATGGTGAGGGGATGGAATGGTGAGTAATGGAGGGGGGAGGGGATGGTGGTGCTGGGCCCTCATCCTCGTTCGCGCGTGGTCATTGGCGCGCATCGTTGACGCGTTATTGCATCGCGTCGTGTCGCCATCCTCGTGTCGCGTGTTTTGTCATCGTCCTCGCGTGTTGTGTCATCGTCGTAGTGTCGTCGTCGCATCGTCGTCGTCGTGTCGTCGTCCGTCCTGTCGCCGTTGCGCATCGTTGTTGCCTTTCGTTCTCCTTGGGCGTCGTCGTCACCTCGTTGTTGTCTCGTCGACAGGCGTTGTCGACACGTCATCGTGTCGTCGTTGTCATCGTGTTGTCGTGTTGTCCGCGTCGCGCGTCGTTCACACATCATTGTGTCGTCGTCGTCGTGTCATCGTCGTCGTCGTGTTGTCGTGTTGTCGTCGTGTTGTCGTCGTCATGTTGTCGTGTTGTCGTGTTGTTGTGTCGTCGTGCCATCCGCGTCGCGTGTCGTGTCGTCGTGGGTCGGTGGGCTGTCGTTGCTGGGGATGGATGTGGTTGAGGACAAGCGACGTGGGATCGTTGATGATGGCCAAATGATGCGTCGGCGTTTGCCGATGACCGTTTTAGGAAAGCGGTCAAACAGTAGGTATGTATAGTACAAAGTACTTACTTATATCAAAGGCTCCTTGGTGCAGCTGGTTTAGCATTGGGTTCCATATGCTTCAGATCCTAAGGTTGAGTGTTCAATTCCCCAATGTTGCATTTTTTTTATGTTATATATTAATAATAATAACAACAGTCTGTTGGAATTCCGTTGGACTTCTGTTGGATTTGTCCACTGGAATTCCGTTGGCACTTGCTCGTCATTTCCAGTGGACTGGGTGCTAGTTTGCTGTTAGTCCATCGGAAGTCTGTTGGAAAAGTCCAACCAAAAATGCTCGGAAAAGCTTCGGACATTCACCGGAAAATTTGCTGCATTTCAAAGCAGAAAAATATCTGTTCTGCATACCCTCAGTCCGACAGAGTCCGGCCGGAGTCCGCTCGGAAAAGCAGTGGCAGTGTAAAGACCTCATGAAAAGAGGGCACGCACATAAACTTCAGCGACAAGACGATCGCCTCTCTGTTTGTCATTGATCTTTCACTTCACTCAAAGGGTGGTTGATGTGGGTTTCCAAATCAACCGTGGACCAGGATTATGGTGATGAGACGTTCATGGAAAACAAGGACACGAGGGCTGTGAATGAAAAAGTAATTGAATGAATCAGAATAGATAGCCCTCCACCGGTTTGAAAGCTTGTGCGCCATGCATGAACTTGCAATTCCGTGTCAGGTTTACTCTCAATGAGCGATGACAGATCAAATACTCACCCAGCGAATGTTGAGCAGGAGAACTGGACAGCTCTGCAAATGTAACAAGAGATTCCCAGGCACGCGAATGGTAAGCTAGCAAAGTTGGTGGAGATGTTGGTGGTTGACGATCAAATCCATGTTGAACGTTTGTTTTGGTTGTTGTCTCTTTCCACTACCTCGACGAGTTGACAAATTTCACTGTTCCCGCATATAACCATGACAAATGTTCCCCATGCCAACTGCCTTGTTTAATCCTCGGACTGTTGATATTGTATGCATCTAGCCACCTCCGAAGCTCCCCAACCTACGTGCAGGTGCCTCCCTAATTCATTCTTTCCATTTTGCAACAAGGGGGAATCCTCATCATAAATCGGGACCATTCGCTGCATCGCAGTCATTCGCAGCTCTCAAAGCTGATGCTTCACATGTATACATTCTTGCAAAAGGCAGCCTGCAAGAAAAATCAATGGTGCGTCTGGGAACGCCAACTGGACTTATAGATTGGGACCAGCTCGTTGATCTGCATGCTTGGCTTACAGGATGCAAACATTGCATTGGCATCTACCATGGACACTCTCTTAGCCTCTCCCCTCAGGCCTAGAAGAACTCGACACACTGATCTCTGCAACTTTTCAGTTCCTCTCATCAGTTCTTGCACCCAACGATGAAAGAATCTACGCCTTGCAAGTGGGTGTGGCGACTAATAGAAGGGGAGTCGATTAGTGTTGAGGGTTTCAAGGGAGGTGGTGGTGAGGTTGCCCAAGGACGTGCGGTGTGCAGTGCAGAACATAGGGCAGATGTGGCAGTTCACTAAATCCAAGGTGACACCGATGCAGACAAAGTTCTG